GGTATGTGCATGGTAAGGTTACACGACGGTTTGATATCTTGGAAACAACTCTTGGCATATTCGAGGACGAACGTATGTTTAAGTGGGGGAGGATATAACGACCCAACCGGTCATTTCGAGCATTTACACTTCGCTCGGTAGTTTGAGGGCATGAGTAGCTCTGTATGAAGTATTATGACTTATGTTAATCGTCGGTTTTAGTTTTCAGGTTATTTGGAATCGATTTGGAAGAATGAATTTCATGGTTTAAGCTTTAAGTTGGAAGAGTTGACCAAGTTTGACTTTTGTGAATTTGACCCTGGAACGTAGTTTTGATGGTTCTGTTAGGCCCGGATGGTGATTTTGCACTCGGGCGTATATCCGGATTTACATTTGGATGTCCGTAGAAGGATTTGGCACTAATTGGCGAAAGTTGGAAATTTGAAGGCTTGGAAAGTTCATAAGTTTGACCGAGAGTTGATTTTGAGGATATCAGATTCGGATTGTGGTTCCTAGAATTGGAATAGCTTCGTTATGTCATTTGAGACTTGTGTGCAAAATCTGAGTTCATTCCGGGTTGATTTGATATGTTTCGACGTGAGTCTTGGAAGTTGAAAAGTTTAAAATTTATTAAGTTCGATTTGAGGTGAGATTCATCATTTCGATGTTATTATACATGATTTGAGGCCTCGAGTAGGTCCGTATTATGTTATGGGACTTGCTGGTATGTTCAGGCGTGCTCTCGAGGGGCTCGGGTGAGTTTCAGACGAGGTTCGGATTTGTTTGGATCATTTTTGGCTAAAGTTGTTGGTGGCAGATCTGGTATGATCGCATTTGCGGCTGGGTTGCGCAGGTGCGATGGTCACAGAAATGACAGAGGAGTCGCAGAAGCGAGGTTCGAGCTAGTAAGGAAGACCGCAGAAGTGGAAGTAAGGGCGCATTTGCGCGTCCGTAGAAGCGTAAGACTAGCCGTAGAAGCGGCGTGTGGCACAGAAGTGGGAGCTATTTATCGCACCTGCGTGTGCGCAGAAGCGGGGAAAGCTCCGCAGGTGCGGAAGTCTGATCTTCAGAGGACTTCGCAGAAGCGAGAATTGTCCGCAGAAACGGAGGTCGCAGATGCGACAATATAACCGCATATGCGGAAATGCTATGCAAAAGCTATATATCGAGGTTTTGGTTCTTTTGTTCATATTTTGAGATGTGGGACTCGGATTGAGGCGATTTTGGAGGCAAATTTCATCACAAGGATTGGGGTAAGTGTTCTACACTCGGTTTTGATTATATTTTGAGATTTCATCTTTATTTTTAGTAATTGGATTATGGGCTTTAAAGAGAAAATTGGGGATTTTAGCCTAAAGTTTCATAGAGTGAGTTTTGAGTTTTGAATGTCGACTCGAAGTCGGATTTGAGTGAAACTAGTATGGTTGGACTCGTAATTGAATGGGTTGTCGGATTTTGTGAGTTTCATCAGTTTTCGAGATGCGGGCCCGGGTTGGGCTATCGGGTCAATTTCGGGTTTTTGATTAAGATTCGACCTTTATCATTTGAAATTATTTTCTTGTGCTTTATTTAATGTATTTGATTTTCTTTTGGCTAGTTTCGAGCCATTCGTAGGTCAGTACACGCGAGATGGCATTTTGGAGCATCGTTGGGCTTGTTCGGTATTGGAATTGGCTTGTTCGAGGTAAGTAACACTGCCAGGTGACTGGTGTATGGGCGTGCACTGTGTGAATTTTAACTCTGTTATTTCTGTGGTGCTGTGTAGTTACTTGAACTTATCTGTAATCATGAAATCTCTACGTACTAGAGTTATTGAGTTGTGATCTATTTAGAAACCATGTTTAGGCTACATGTTTATTCTGTTGGGACCCACTAAGGTCATTACTGCTGTTGGGTTATTTTCTTACATTGTAATTTCATACTCAGTCATGTTCATTCATTTCATATCATATCTCAGTCTTTGTTGCTATATATTGACACGTCATATCATCATTTTGGGCTAGTTTCATGGCATTGTGGGCCCGAGAGACTGCAGAGATTGATGACTGAGTGAGGCCAAGGGCCTGATTGTGAGATTATAGATACTGTAGTACATGAGTTGTCTGTGCAACACGTGAGTTGTCCGTGCAGCACGTGAGTTGTCCTTGCAGCACGTGAGTTGTCCTTGCAGATCCAGATATTGATATTATAGAACGTGAGTTGTCCATGCATCACGTGAGTTGTCCGTGCGGATTATAGTGCTTGGGCTGAAGGAGCCCCTCCGAAGTCTGCACACACCTCCAGTGGGCGCAGGTACCTATTGAGTGTGAGTGCTAGTGCCGAGTGATTGGGAGGACTGAGTGGATTGATACTTTGAGAGTATGCATATGGTTGTTCACTATGTTGCATAGCATTGACATGAACACTTGACATACAGTCATTCAGATGCATTTTCCTCATGTTGTACGGTATCACATCATTCATGACTTCTCAAACACACTGACATTTAGGTATAGAGATGTACTTTTCCTCATGCCATTTGATAATGAAACATTTACCTGTTGAAAAGTTTTGGAAGGAAAAATCATGACTTTACAAACTTATTCATATTTTGGTTGTTTCGGTAAAAGATTTGGGTTTATCACTGATATACTTGAAGAGCATGCCTATTTTCTGGAATTGTGAACGAGCTGAACATTATATTTTTGAGTTATTTACTGTACCACTTTTTATTATATTGTTATGAGTTATTATTGGCTATTGGTGTTGGGCCTTGACCTGTGTTCCAGCTCGTCACTACTTTCAACCTAAGGTTAGGTTTGTTACTTATTGAGTACATGGGGTCGGTTGTACTCATATTACACTTCTGTACCTTGCGTGCAGATACTGGATGTTGATGCTGTTGTGATCGACGAGAGCGGGATTTGAAGACATTCCTGCATTCCGTTTGTAGCTGCCTCTTATTCATGGTAGCCTTAGACTTATAAAGATCTGTTTATGTACATTTTAAATAGATGATGTATTTATTTCACACCAGTTTTGTAAATTCTAATCTTTGAAACTCATGATTTATACTACCAGTCCTTGGGAAGTTCTTGTATAAAAGCGGTTGTAATTTCATTTCTTTTCATAATAAATCTCATTTGAATTGGTTAGTTGTTAATTGGCTTACCTGACTAGTTGAGTTAGGTGTCATCTCGATTCAGTAGATTTTGGGTCGTGACACGTTGTAAGTGGTAAATTAGCTTTATTTCGTAAGTAGCACCCTGCCAAATGGGTTGCTACAACATCTGACCTATTGCTAATTTCGTCACCTGATTAATCAATTTGGACATATCTGTCGTTATAGTTGTTAGCTCATCTAGATCAACTACACATGCTACCCTATATTTAATTGTCGTTCATGGTTCCCCATCACCTTACCAATTATGATCATTCGCTGTGAAGTTATACAAGAAGGTCTGGATTTCGATGTAAGGTTTTCCATGTAGCTATCCCCACATGTCGAGTCAAGATTCATCTTTGATGACACATCCATCCCATCAACAAAAGTGTGACCCAATACCGCGTCAGTCCGATAGTGATATGGGTAGTCTCTGAGCAGTTTCTTGTATCTTCCCATGCTTGACAAAGAGTTTCTCCATCCCATTATTGAAACCCAAGAATCTATCTTCTCAGTAACTTTGTCTTCTTTGTGGGGAAGAACCTCATCAAAACATTTCGGGCTAAATCATCCCAAGTGCGGATCATAGTAGCAAGCTCTTTTTGCAACCATTTTTTGCTTTCCCCAGTAGTGAAAAGGGAAACAAGTTAGTATGATGTAATCCTTGAAAACGTTCAGATAATTGTAGGTATCCGTAGTTTCGAGAAAGTTTTGCATGTGCCTCTGCGGATCTTCATGAGAAAGACCCACAAATTGCTCTGTGGACTGAATCAACTGCACCATGTACTATTTAAGCTCAAAGTGAGCAGTAATGTCAGGCTTCATAATAGCATGAGTCATGTTAGCAAGATTATGCCTTATAGCCTCTATCACCGACCGCTCGTCGTTTTCTGCCATCTCTATTAGTTGTTGTTGGATTGTGATGCCCAACTCTGCAGATCTAGCTTTAGTTTCAGCCTCCCTTCTTAATCTGTGAGGAGTTCTTTATATTTTCAAATCAAAAGGGAGAATGTCATCAAAACTCCTGCTCCTCTACATTTAAGAGAAAAATTAAATCTTTAACGTGTTGACATCCAATTTTGCCCCTCTTTTCTTCCAAATTGTTTACTTGAGCTTCTAATCTCGTTAATGACATAATATTATTTAATCTGGTATTTTTAGTACAATTTAGACTTATAATTATTGCTCAAGTTGTTTTATTCAAAACTAATCAATCAACGATATTTTCTTTACAAATATCTCTCTTTGTATTACATTAACCCTACTTTTATGTATAGAATATTTTACCCAAGTTATTTTTTATATTATTTGCATGGCCGTTGTAATGATTGTATACTAAGATAGATTTTGGCATTTTAATTCATAATCATTCTGTTTAAGCACTACAACACTATTTGATATAAATATCCATTGCTAGACATGTCAAGCAATTTAATTGTCTACTTAATATTATTATTGCTAATTATTATAGATATTATTATTATTATTTTGGTCCAAGTTAGAAGTCCAAGTAAATAAAAGGAAGAAGGGAAACGGTCCATTACCTTAAGGGACTAGCCCATTTCAGATTATTCCTACCCACAAGAGAAGTCCAAATCTGCCAACTCAATAGCCCAAGAACAAGACAAAGTCAGCCCAAATCCACCCAACCAGCAACCCAAAATCCTCCACTTATAGCCCAATTATATAACACTCTAGAACTCCATCGAAACTACGTCGTTTTGATAAATATGCCAAACTTAATCTCAGCCATTGGCACTCTTAATCCTATGGTTGGAATTTATTACTTCACTCTCTCTCTCTCTCTCTCTCTCTCTCTCTCTCTCTCTCTTCACGTGATGTCAGTTGACCAAGACCCCATATTTTCTATTTCTCTACTTCATCTTCTCTTTACTTTATTTGAACAGAGGAGACAGAACTCACCAAAAATGGTGAAAAGTCGGGCTGTCATCTATGTCACCACTGATCAAGACAGAACGGCTCATATGGCCGTTTGAATTTCAAATCCCGCCCTGAAATTAAGCCCTAGATTTTTCATTATAAATAATGGTGTTTTGAGGCCATTTGAGAAAAAACGGGGGCCGTTGCCTTCACCCTTCGAAACCAAATTCTTGGCCGCTCTTCTCCTATCTAAAATTTACTCTTTGCCTATTAGCTATCTCCTAAAGAAAAGCTTTAACTACAAGTCTACAACACCTCTACTGTCTCTATTTGGTATTTACCATAGCAGAAATTTGGTTATCCTTTATTTATTTTAGTCGAGTCTGCTTTTGTCCGAGAGGGAGGAGTAAAGTCGAGATCGAAGTTCGATAGCGCATCCACGACCCTCCTCAGTTCACTGCCCTGCAAAAGGTACGTATCTTCTCCTTTCGCTCTCATTTTGATTCTAATTAGAGCATGTTCGATTCCTGGTGCGTGTTTGCTTCGAGGGTTGTTAGTTTCTATTAAGTTTTTATGTTTGGTGCTATAAAAATGGCTCTAATTTATGTTTGTTTAAGGGAATGACTCTATGACTAAAGTTGTTAGCAACAATCCTTCAAGGAGATTATGTTCTGGTGTGTATTGTTAGAAGCATGCCTGACTGGTATTTGATAAAATTCTCACATGAAAATAAATACCCATTTCCTTTTAGATACTATGATTTTAAGAAGGATTTTATCATGAGCTAGTCGTCTTGCAAAACATTTATTTGCTATTGTAAATTAGAACCCTTTTTGCCTAAACATCATGCTTAGGATTTCAATTAGCTTGTTTAAGAATAGATTTTGTCTAAATGTACACTGTTAAATGAATACTTGATTTACTTGTGTCTTCACACTTTAGACAGCATGTCCCTAGGAGTTTATGTTTTTACTCATCGTGTAAAAAATGAGATCCCTTCTTTAGTGTGAACTGTAAGTGTTCATGAATGACTATAAGCGATTTGCTTACTTAAGGTAATTTAAGAGGATAATACTTAGACAATAAATTATTACTTATTCATTTAAGCACAGAAGAAACATATTCTTGTTGAAATATGAATGTATCTACTTTTCTTGCTTTTTAAGAGATAGAAAATATGACTCTGGGATTAGCAAATGTAGTATCATGCCTATAAGACATTGATGGAAAGGAGATGATATGTGTATATCTAATATGTTAACCTGGATGTGTTGAAATTGCGTCCCCCATGATTTAGTTTATGGAACGAGAACAAAAAGAAGTAGCAATGAATACATTTTCTGTTAATGGTATCAAGTAAAGGTTTTCATGAATTCTTGTTTAGTTTGCAGTCCTATTTCTTGGTCTAAATTGTGAGCATGTATCACGTTTGGGAAAAACTTATATTTTACATTAACTGATTAAATAGCATGTGATGAGGTAGTGAATGATTTGGTAAGAACTCTGTCAAATGATATACCTATTAGAATTTTTAGTGAAGCCCCCTCATGAGTTGATATAATGCTTAGTGTTCTTTTAGCAAAGACCATATATATACCCTGTTTTCCTTAACATTGTAACTGTTTGCGTTTGTCTCCTAGACTTTAATATAGGTGTCTTGTTTGTAGTTGATTTTATTTCGAACACATTAAATGGCTTTGATTAGCGAACTTGTTTGTAGTTGATTTTATTTCGAACACATTAAATGGCTTTGATTAGCGAAGAATTAACACAAAATTGACTTTATTAGCATGAATTTCTGGTTTTAAAAGTTGTTTGCAAACTGGATAACATTGTGACTTTATCCATTTTATCTCTTACTATCAATTTTAAAGAATCAATAGTTCGCTGCTCTAATTTTTTATCTTTATTTCTTTCTCTACATGTACACCCTGGAGCAAATGGAGTCTTAATTCGAGACTCTCGCAGCGGAGTCTCATAGAGACTCAACGCTACCACCACCACATGGAGTCATTGCATACCATCTTCCTTAGAGCACCGGATAGCGAGAAAAACAAGCGAAATGCTTGGGGAAGCCTATGGCATCTTTCATTCATGCTATTTGACATTTACTTGTGTGATTTAAGTTTATCTCCAATTTCTGGGATTATATGTTAAAATTCGTGTTAGCATAGTATGTTTACTCTTATTGTCGATTTGGTACTATCTTAATCACATAAATGTAGCCTTTAGAGTTTAGATATAGAAACTAAGAAACATTTTTCTTAAAATGACCCTTCCAAAACTTTTCTAATGGCGATAATAAGCATAAGATGTTTTTCTAAAGAACACATGTTAAAACTGTCTTTCTTTCCTTTAACAATATCCAACGTAGTAATTTTTTTTTTTTTTTTTAAAATCTCTTTCTTTTAGGGATGTCTTAAATTGTTGGTTTCATCAAATCAAAACTAGTTTCTTAAACCTATTAGATCCTTAAAACGGTTTAAACATTTTTCTCAACTTTAAATAGCTAAGTTAAAAAGAAGTCAGCCGATACCAATTACTACATTTTTTTTACTTAGTTATAATTTGTCACCTAGTTGGCATATATTTAGTACTTAAACACTTAGAAGACATAAAATTTAGCGTACTTTTAATTGTGAAATCTTATACTAATTAACCTGAGTTTGGCCGGTAACCGTAGTTAACGGATCGCATAGGGTGCTTTTACAACCTTCCTTTCCCTATAGGATTAATTAGAACCCATAGACCATAAAACAGAGTTAACTTTAGCCATTACTTAGATAAAACTAGTGTCCTAATTCACCTTAGAATTAATTAGGTGGCGACTCTCTTTTCATTAATTAACCTCTCTCTTTTTATTATGTTATACTCCCATTTGACCCGTGTTAAAATGGGGTATAACAGCTTGGCGACTCTGCTGGAATACTAGGTTCTAAACCATAACAAGCAAGTTAATAATATATTTGATTTGTTTGTTTGTAATTATGCTTATCTGAATTGCCTTATGTGATAAATTTTTTTATATGAATTGTTTATCTCTATACTTATTGCTTTATATAAATTATCATTTTGTTTCAATTCCTCCACTCCTGAAAAATTCACACAAAGCACACACCTAGCGGTTACGTGGTTTACGGCCGTGCACTTTTCAAAAAAATATCTTTTAGGGGAAAGTTCGTGGGTAAGTCGATCATCAATGCAGTCGATAGTCACGGGTTTTCCACTCTCAAGTTGTCCGCTTGGGAGAAGACCAGTCTAGAAAAGCCCACTCTTAGTCAGCCTAAGATAGAGCTAAACCAAAACCCTTTTAAGAGCATGAATCATTTTAACCTTAGGATTTAATACCTGAGGTGTATTAGTTAATCTTACCTAAATGATCAAGTGGGTTTTCAACCCAAGTGACAGGTATATGTGCATTATTTGAAGGGTGAGCATGCCAATTATGACATAATCTTGCGGAACAACGAGAAGCCTAAACATGGCAAAATATATTTTATTTACTTCTTTTGATCTTTTGATGAAATATATATACTTTCTTTTGACCAAAAAGAAGAGGTTTAAGAAGTTTTAAACTATTTATTTTCTTTTCAAAAATAGAGCTATTTAATTAATTTACACAAAGAGGCCCCCACATATGACACACTATTTTTTGCTTTGGATTGTGTCACATGCGTTGCTTGCTTACTTGCTATGTTGCTTACTTGCAAATCTTTATTCATATATTCTTTCTTTAGCTATCATCTTTCGGAATTAAGAAGAATAATCACCAATCGTCCAGCGCTTAGCGCTCTTTAATGATTCTAGAGCACCGTTTAGGTATTTACTTAGGTCCAGATTTCTGTTAGGTCCACTCAAATTCTTAGAATATAATTAAAATATTCTTTTAGTCTCTAGGCATGATCGTCTATTTTTATAAGATAGGATGTTTTGCCCGCAAACCCTTCAACAAGCTTGGTTTGTCATGAAATTCCTCAATATTCGTGCCTTAAATCTTTAAGCAACAATGAGCATCTTACTCCCTATAGCAAATATCATTACTTTTTTAAGGACTGGCATAAAACCTATTAGATCCTTAAAACGGTTTAAACATTTTTCTCAACTTTAAATAGCTAAGTTAAAAAAAAGAAGTCAGCCGATACCAATTACTAACATTATTTCTACTTAGTTATAATTTGTCACCTAGTTGACATATATTTAGTACTTAAACACTTAGAAAAAATAAAATTTAGCGTAAAAAATTGTGAATCTTATACAAATTAACCTGAGTTTGGCCGGTAACGTAGTTAACAGATCGCATAGGGTGCTTTTACAACCTTCCCTATAGAATTGTCATGACCCAAAATCCAATTAGTCGTGATGACATCTAACCCAACCCGCTAGATAAGGCAATTAATTAAAAAAAAATATATGAAATTAATACATTTTCCCAAGAACTGGTAGTACAAATCATTAGCTTCTAAGAATAGAATTTACAAAGATGAAATGAAATAAATACATGGTCTGTTTGAGAAGTATATAAACAGAGTTTTATAGATCTAAAGCTACCACGAACAAGGGGCAGCTACAACCGTCCGCAAGTACATCTTCAATCCATCTCCCATCGAACACAGCAATATCAACAACCAACATTTGCACGCAAGGTGCAGCAGTGTAGTATGAGTACAACTGACCCTATGTACTCAGTAAGAAACAAACATAACCTTAGGTTTCAAGTAGTGACGAGCTAACACAAGGTCGGGTCCAATACCAATATCTCACAACAGTTCATAACAGCATAATACAAGTAATAAAAGATGTATCTGAGAAGTAAAATGCTCAGCTCGTTCACAGTTCCAGAAAATAGTCATGCTTTTTAAGTATCTTAGTGAAAATCCAAATCTTTCTTTCCAGATAGAAAGTGTGAAATACCTCTCTATGCCCACATAGTGTAAAAAGTCATGAATGACGTGCCGTACAGCATGAGGAAAAATACATCTCTATGCCTGTATGTAATGTGTGCATGCCAATGCCATGTATCTCAGAGATGAATCATGTACTCACACTCTCAGAGTACTCAATCTCACTGTCTCACACTTTTCACTCATCATGCTCAACCACTCGTACTGTATATGGCCCATACGGCCCAGGAAAGATCCATCCCGAAATATACATCACTGACCATCAGCCACTCAGTACCGAGGAAGGCCAATCCGGCCCCATGGAGAAGATCCATCTTCAGGTATATAAATGCTTCGGACAAGATCCATGTCCAAGGAAGATCCATTCCTCAATACAATCAACCGCGCTCACTGGGGGTGTGTACAGACTCCGGAGGGGCTCCTACAGCCCAGGCATAAATCAATATAGCATCTGCGGCGTGCAGCCCGATCCCATACTGTCACTCATAATCATCAGGCTCTCGGCCTCACTCAGTCATCAATCTCTTCAGTCTCATTCACGGGCTCACAATGTCATGAAACTAGCCCGATAACAATGATATGATGAATAAATAACAACTGAGACTAAGATATGATATGAATGCATGAATATGACTGAGTACGAAATATCAATGAAATCAGTGAGATGACAGCAAGAAACGACCACTATGAGGTCCCAATAGTATCGGCATAAAGCCTAAACATCTAACATGATTGACAACTCAATTACGATAACATGGAGAAAACATAGATATCAATAAAAATAGGGCCACTATTCAATGCCATGGAATAACGGAGTCCCAATTCACATGGTGCACGCCCACACGCCCGTCACCTAGCCATGTGCGTCACCTCAATACCAATCACATAACATGTATTACAGGGTTTCATACACCGAGCAAGCCAAGCGATACTCCAAAATGCCATCTTATGCGTTCCGACCTCCGAACGGCTCAAAACTAACAAAAAACAACTAAAGTACATCAAACAATGCTAAAGGAACCAATCCCGATCGAAAAAGATCAAATCTTGAATCAAAAGCCCAAAATCGGCCAAAAGCCCAACCTAGGCCCGTACCTCGTAACCCGACAAAATTTACAAAATCCAACAACCCATTCAATTACGAGTCCAACCATTCTAGTTTCACTCAAATCCGACTCCAATTCGATGTTCAAAACTCAAAAATTCATATTATGAAACTTTAGGCCAAAACCCCCAATTTCCTCTTTAAAGTTCACAATCCAATTACCAAAAACGAAGGTAGATTCGTAATATAAGATCAAAAATGAGTAGAGAACACTTACCCCAAGTTGTGTGGAAAATCACCTCTCCAAAGTCGCCCAATCCGAGCTCCAAAATCTGAAAATGAAGATAGAAACCAAAGACCTCGAATTATAGGTTCTGCCCAGCGATTTCCGCATTTGCAGACAATTCGTCGCACCTGCGACCACCGCATTTGCAGAAAAATATCGCATCTGCGAAAAAATGGCCTTGCCTAGCAACCCCCGCACCTGCGGTATCAAACTCCGCATCTGCGAAGAAACTCGCACCTGCACTTCCACTCGACGCACCTGCGCCCTTTTCTCCGCTTTTGCGGGCCTCCTCATCCAGCTCTCATCTTGCATCTGCGATGCCTTTGTCGCTTATGCGGCCATCGCACCTGCGCAAACCAACCGCAGGTGCGATCATACCAGAACCAGTAGCCTTCAGCAATGCAACATGACGTGAAAATGATCTGAACCTCATCCGAGCCACTCGGGATCCCGTCTGAATATACGAACAAGTTCCATAACGCAATACGGACCTACTCGAGACCTCAAAACATACATAACAACATAAAACGACGAATCATACCTCAAATAGAAATATATGAACTTTGAACTTTCAAATTCAATAACTCGTGCCGGAACATAGCAAATCAATCCGGAATGACTTCAAATTTTGCAAACAAGTCACATTCGACATTACAGACCTGCTCCAACTTTCGGAATCGAAATCCGACCCTGATAACAAAAAGTTCACTCCCGGTCAAACTTTTCAAAATTTCAACTTTCGCCATTTCGAGCCAAATTCAACCACAAACCTCCAAATCACAATCCGGACGCGCTCCTAAGTCCAAAAGCATCCAACGGAACCATCAAAATTCCAATCCGAGGTCAAATGCTAAAAAGTCAACTTGGTCAACTCTTTAGAATTAAAGCTCCCTAGTTGAGAATCAGTCTCGAATAACCTGAAAACCAAAACCGACGATTCACACAAGTCAAAATACCTCATACAGAGCTACTC